GAAGATTAACTCTAAGAAAAAAGCTTTTTTTTAAACTGATAGAGTGTGAAATGCTCTATCGATTGATATAATGTTGTTTTATTTTAGCACAAGTCTCTTCGTTAGGAAATGCGAAATACTGAAAGATGCGGAAATCTGCTTTTGCATAGATCGAAATTATTTTAATTATAAAAAATCTATATAAAGAGATAAAATGTCGTTCTTTAATAGGTGATATAGCTAAGCTCTCATACTATCTGTATAACCATTTGAATCAAACCTATACCTAATAATATGAAAAAAAAACTCCGGAAAAAAATTTGAGAAAAAATACTGAAAAACCAATTTCACTTAAATTTTTGTCCGGGACTGTATATATTCACAAAAGTTGTTTTTCGTGTTGTCTCATAAATACTGCTTGTTTTTCTTTAACAATAGACACTTGTTTTTTAATATCATCAATTTTACTAATTTCTTCCATTCTTTGATAAATAACCGATAATTCTACCGATTCAGATGTCTCTTGTGCCTCTTTATATTGTTTTCTAAGGTCTTGTAATATTTTGTGTAAAGATTGATTAAGACATGTTGGATCATTTGTCGAGCTTAGTTGTTTTTCTTCTATAATCATTTGATTTAAAGTTGATAAAATTTCGTCCTTCTTATTCGATACATCGCGAGTATTAGCATAGAATTCACCGAACTCTAGGATTGCTCCTTTGAGCTGTTTGAAATTAAATTTCATATTTTCTAAAGTTTTTCTGTCTTTGTCATATACAATTTGATATTGAAGATCATAATCAAGTTCAACATGGTCTTGTTGAGAATGAATACAATCCTTACAAGAACCGGAAACAGTATGTAAATCATGTAGAAGTATTAAAAATTCAACGTAACGCTTAAGAACAGGTTTACATTTGTAACAAATAGTTCGTGGTTGAGGAAGGACGATTGGAAAAAGGTTAATTAGTTGATTAGTTCGATGTTGTTCTAATTGAATAATATTCCGACAAAGATTTCTTATTGTTTCTAATATAGGACGAATCATTTGATTGATTATCAGTTGAGCATGTTCAATTGATTTCCATTTGATCTGAGGGTATGGTTCAAGTTGATTTCCACACAAATACTGAAGAAGACGAGTTGATTCTTTGAACGAACTTGTCCAACTTTGTTGATATTCTTTCTTTTGATATTCATCGAATTCGATTTGATTTGTGAGAGCAACTAAATAGCGAAATGCTTCACTATCGAAACAAAACGTATTGGCTTTTTTATAAGGAATATTTTTAATTCTACAAGATTCAAGCATTTTTTTCAATAGAGGACCAGTATTACCAGGCGAAAAAAATGTCGATCGAGTATTTGTGAAGCAAAACACAATATTTTCACGAGCTGCTTCACCAAGAAAATTCAATAAACGATCAAAATATGAACGAAGAACAATATTCAATTTTGCTTCATTTGGTTTCAGAAGAATACAAATCGCATTTAAATGCGGAAGATTACTGATGAATGAAATGATATTTTCGATATTCATATCATCTTGAGTAAGACCACGCGTATCTCCCATTCCAGGTGTATCGATTAGTCTTATTTTTGTTTGACTAGATATCGAAAAAATATAGGATCGACAATGTTGAGTTACTGATTGACCAGGGTGATTATGATCTTCATTTGAATCCGTTCGACCGAAATGAATAATTTTTTCTTCGAAATTATCTCCAACTGTCATCATAAATGAAACAGGAATAGCGACAATAGGTTTACTAGTACGGGCTTCTTCAAGATTTTCAAATGTAAAATAATTAATAAGTGCATTGATAAATGTTGATTTTCCAACACCAGATTCACCTAGAAGAAGAACATTGATATATTTCTCGTTTAATGATTGTGATGAAACAGGACGAGATGTAGTTCGTAGTGTTTCAGTTGAATTTTTTGAATGAATCTGTTCTCGGGATGAATCCAATTTTGCTTTGGATGGCGATTCTTGCGACTTGATTTTATCAATACGTTGCTGACTTCGTGGAGTCATTGGTGGAGTGGAATTTGAATGAGGTGTTGACAAATTATTATTATGATTGTTAGTGTGTAAATATTGTTCTGATTCAGCTAAAGATATTAATGAAGATGGTGTTGAAGAACGACGTGGTGATCGAGGACTTGCTTTTGGTTTTGTTGATTGATTTAATCTTTTTGTTTTTTCATTATCCTGCTTGTAGAATGGTTTTTCGTTTTCTTCTGTCAGTCCGTGCAATGATCCATTGGATTTTACATCAATAGATTGTTTGCTGTTAATCTGATCAGCGTCTCTATTGTCCACTAGACTTCTGCTAGGATATCTGATTTTGACAGGTGGCGTAGATCGATGAAGTGGAACTTCAAATATTTGCCTTTTTATATGAATTTTTTCTCGGGAAGAATCCGACTTTATGTGTGATGGTAGTTCTTGCACCTTGGTTTCATCGATGTTTCTCTTGTCTCGTGAACTTGCAAGTGAAAGCGAATTTGAACGTGGCGATGACATACTAATATGATCCGTAATTTGTGAGTATTCATCTGACTTAGTGCTAGATATTGATGATAATGTTATTTGAGAACGACTAGACGACTGGGGACTTAACTTCGAGTTTGTTGATGAATCTGGGATTTTCGATTTACCAACGTGTTCGCTCAACAGTTTTTCTTTATCTTCTCTCAACGCATATGACGGTCTATTTGAATTTATATCTGTAGATCGCTTCAGATTACTTCGATCAACCTCTTTATTGTACGATTGCTTTGTTCTAGAAGTTGTGATGTTTTCAGGTGAGTTTAGTCGTCGACGAGAAACTTCTGATCGTTGGTTTGATACTCCAAAGTTTAAAGACTTGGACGATAAGTTTGAATGAGATGTTCCTTCTTCTCGTGGAGATATTTGTCGTGCCTTTAATAAATCGATCGATGCTGAGGCACTGCGATTTTCTGGTCGTTGTAGCGAGTTCAATGGACCGACTGTTAATATCTCTAATTTCGGTAACTTAAATGAAATATGATAAGAAAAATCCACATAAATAAGGTCTAATGAAGGATCTTTTGCACCTTTTCCTAGCCATCGATTGTAAAATTCATTCCATATTGATAAATTTCGATTGAGTAAACTATCACTTGAACAGAAAATGAGCTGTTTTGTTTTCGGTTTGATTTCTTTTTCCAATATTGCATTTAGATCATTGTTTTGTTTAATCAAAATATGTTGCACATTTAAATATTTTATGTCTTGTTTTTCTAATTGTTTGATAAATTGTACTTTTTCTTTCAATAGACGAATTTGTTCAAGATAGAAATCAATTTTTTCTCTTAATGAAGATTTAACTATGTCGATCAGCCCATTATTCATTTCTTCTTTGTGAAGTTTTCCTTTACGAAATTTTAAAAGTAATTTCTTAACAGGTTTGATCCGATCTGAAAATTTCTTAACAATGTTTTCAATGTCAGAATAAATTTCATGAAACAATGGAGCTAGCTCTTCATGAAATAATTCTATTGTTTCTGATTTAATAAATGCTTGTAATTCCGTCATTTTAAGCCATACAGGAAGTAAATATTGTTTTATTATAATAATACTCTTTTGGTTCAATGGAACATAAATCGCTGCGTTATGTGAACGATTTACAAGAAACCATTGAATCGGACGAAGAAAATATTGTATAGGACGATGATCATCTATTGATTGACTCATTTGAATTATTTCTTTGCATAAACGAAACAGACTTGTGAATTCAGTGAATTGCTCTATATTTGAAAACACTTTTTTCAGCCTTATTTTAGAAAGTAAGTTTCTTTTGTCTTTCAATCTGTTGAAATTATTGTTTATTAGAGATTGACGTATTAATTCTATTAAATTATTTGTATCATTTTCCGCAGATAGTTGTACTACAATAAGAAGATGAACTCCCGATCTAATACCAGCAATAATATGTGTTGTATCTTCATCAATCGTTGCTCTCCGTATTTTCCGTCTTATTTTATACAGGTCGTCAATAATACATTGTTCTTGGCTTATATAACACTAATGAATTATTCGTGTGTTTTCATCGATTTGAAATGTTGAATCTGTTAATGAAGTTATTCCTTGTGCAGCAACGATACTCAATAATAAACTCAACCATAGGTCATAATCAAAACCTATTTCATGAAAGAGATTTTCAGGTTGAAGTTCATTGTTTATAAGTACTTGACAATATACAGAATCGTATTTGATAGGTTTACTTTTGAGATTTTCAGAAATTGGTATTTGGTATAGAATAGAATCTATTCTTGCATCATAGAGAGAACCAACAGTGGCATCGCGCTGGACCGATAAACGAGGTATAACTTCATCATCACATAATAATCTTTCAAAAGGATGGTCATTCTTTAAAATCGGTTTTCTGACAAGTGGATTTTCCATGAATATTTTACGTAAACTGAATAAAAATATAATGTAAATAAATTAAAACAATATAATAATTAAAAAAATGTTGTAATAACTCTTAAGATCGAATATTCTTTTCAAAAGACATAGTTTCCATGATATTAAGTGCATCACAAAATTTCTAACAACAACTGGATTGGAATTAGCAAAACTAGGTTGGATTCAATGTCTGACGAAAGAATATTCGCAAGTGTTAAACCGTTTTCCAATCTAAATTATGTTCATTTGATGACTGTTAATGTATAATAGAAAAGTATAGAATAGTATTTTTATGGATCTTCGTTCTCAAGATATTTAAATTTTATTGCTTTAGTTCATTGAAGCATAAAATCCACTTCAGCCTATCTGAAATCTAAGCTTTCATATTTGGATTTAAAATTTACTACATTGTATATAATTAGGTCATGATACTAATTCAGCTAATCTCGTAGTGATAGAAAACTTTCAAGTTAGATGATTACCAGATCAGTTGACGATCATGTCGACGAAATCTGTTAATTGTTTAAAAACATGCAACCAGAATTAATTTCATTCATCTTGAGACAGAATGAAAGGTTCATATCGAGTAGACTCGCACTCACATCCACACTCTGAATCAAGATATACGAACTATATTTTAGTGGCATATATATACAACGGATGATCAGATTTCATCGACATAATAACTAACTTACCTAGTAATCGTGTTACTTGAAAGTCAATCCCATCCATTCAGTAGCCACTCATCTGGAGATCAACACGTTATCTCGAATGTAATTGTTGTACACATAAGACATTCTTCATATGACTTACATTCATTTTTGGCAAAAATATTTTAAAGGTATAATTATAATTTTCTCCTTTAGAACTTTCTGATAGTTTTATTTAAATTTAAACCATTGAGATTTCATAAAAAGAAATGCCTATAAAAATTAATCATATTTCATAAGACTATGAAAGTCACAATGAGTTTTGCATAGGATGAAAAAAGAGATTCGTGATTTTATATTATATTATATTATTAAAACTCTGAGATCTTCGAAAACTCTTAAAAATTGAATATTGTCGCCAGAATAGTGCGAATGTTGTTTACTCTTTTTGATGCATTATTCGCTTCGTTCATGATACGTCCTTAGGTAGATGGTATTGTTTTATGTATGTGTTTATGCATTCCTCTGATAAGAGAAAAACAAAAAAAAATCCTATATATTTTTTTCCAGGGTACTCTCTTTGTTTCTTTTGAAGAATGCATCAACATGAAGCAAGAGGAACCAAATGATGAAGCACGTTGGATAATGACGAGAAGAGATAGTAATACGGATGAACACACGCACAGCAACACTGTCTACCTAAGGATACTTTATAAACGATAGCCTGAATAACATGAGGCGTTAATATTTTCTATTATCATAAGCTATTCAATATTTTTGGAAGTTTTCAAGCTGATACCCGAAGTTTTACTGATTTTGGTTTAATATTCAAGGATTAAACTGAAAAAATGATATCATACGAGACTAAAATTAGTTTAATATGATACCTTTGAAATCTTCAAAAAAATATTCTTCAAGTTTCAACAATCATTTTGAATCCATCTTGAGTTTTCATGAAACTTTAGAAAAAGATTTCGATTTCGTTGCAAAGAGTTTCGTACGGTATCATTTTTTTTCTATTCCACAGCTAGCTGTGATCGAAAAATCCTTGTACCCCAATGATTAAATGTAAGAGAATAGAGAATGAGAACGAAATAAGTAACAAGACATAACATGAGTTTACAGACAAGGAGAAAACCATTTCAAGTCGTCGTATAAGATAGAAAGAGAAACGAGAGGAAAAGAGTAAAGTATAAGAATGAGATCGCGTTGGACTATCTAAGGTCTTTAAGTGTGAACTCATTTCGCAGCCAGAACTTTCTAAATTGGTTTTTAGTTTGCTTTCTCAAAGAGGAGTTTGCCGTCGATAGAGTCGACTAAGGTTATCAAATACTTTCTACAGTACTTGGCGCAACGATATTCTATAAACTTCTCATTAAGAGCATAGACGAAAGTTTTTGTTCCAATGAAATGCGAATATAACTCTACGAAGGTATGTGAAGTGGGAAAATCGGATAAGTTCAGGATGAACAGAGTACATTTTAACTCCAGTGATGAAGAAACATTGAGCTTATACGATCTGATTAAGAATACATGTTGTCTAATTTTCGTCCTTGTTTTCATGATCATCATCCTCCAACCGAGATATTCAAACTCATTCGTCTATGATTTCTTTTTGTCTTTCAACAAGTCGAGAAAGATCTCAAATTTGGGGGGTCTATTGCTCGAATCCTGAATAGAGATTTAGTTTTGATAAAATGAATAGGTTTTACTGATAAAAGTCAGTAAAATTATATTTTTTTCCATAGTGACATGAACATTGCAAAACTCACTGAGTTCAACCTAATGTGCATATATTCACTAAGACAACGATGAACTACTTCAAAATATTTTCATGTCAGTAACATATTTGAAATTTCCTTGCACATCAGCAACCTTAAATGCTTGATGATAGGTTAATTTCAAGTTCTATAACCTTTATTTCATTGATTCTATATTACTTCCTATCGATTGAAGATTTTTTTTTATTGGAAATAAACAGGATTTTATTTGCATATTCCACTCTATGAGTAAAGAACGGACGAAGAAGTACTTTTCATCGAAAAAAAACTGGCACTTGTTTACAGCTATATTCTATGGCTGTAACAAATGAACAGGAAAAATCTAACTTCATTAGATTATAAATCTTGATGAGATTCAACCTTGCTACAACAGTCTAAAATTTCAATCTAGAAAAGCCTTTTTGTTAACATTCATTAGAAAATTGTTCTCGGCCCTACTATTTGTTCATTTTTCAATTTTTACTGCTTACCTTCAGAAATAAATATAAAGAAATGCAATTTCTCGTACTCTATTATGATGTTTGCCTTCAAACACACATGCTCAAAGTGAAAATATGAAGAGAAAAAAAAGCAGTACATTTGTCGTAATGTCTGCTCGATAAAATAAAAAAAAAACACATGCTGCGCATTCTTTGAAAGAAAAGAGAAAAAAACTAAATGAATGAAGCAAAGTTGTTTGGATTTGGTTGGAAGGTATATAAAACGGTGAAAGTTTTGTTCTTTATGAGATAAGAAAATTTAATTGCGAACGTATCAGATTCAGACAAAGGAATGAAAAGATTTATGATATTTTATTAACGCTGCAATTTTATTAAATAAAAGCTTATTTGGGTGTGGGTGTGCAATCAAAGAATTACCACAGCTATAGTACACACCCATGAATTTCTTCATTTATATTCAATAAACAAAACTCATTCTATTTCTAGTATATGTTATCGTCACATACACTCAAACAGTATCTGATACTGCATTCAACAGACAACTATAGTGTAACATCGAATAAATTAGATAATAAAATCATTGAACTACCAAAAGAAAAAATACCAACATACAGGTTTTTTAAAGACATTGGATAACATAACAATAATATTATCTAAATTAGGACGAAATAGGTCGACTTGAATTGCATCTTTCATTATTTATTATTATTATAGTTTCGATTCAGAAATATATACATTTTATAACAATCAGTAGATCGTATAATAGCTTCTAGTTAATGAACTATATTGTTCAAAATAATAAAATAGGATATGATCATTTATTGTAATACAGCCTCCAAGTGCAATGAGATATTTTCATGCGAAAAGTATATATCTATGTACCTTTCATACAAATTTGGTTGAAACCATTATCAATGATATAATTCGTATTCGTGGAAAATTATTGCAATTGTTTTATGCAGGAACAAGATTCATGTAAAAAATTGAAAATTAACAGTTAGATCAATAGTATATCGTCGAAAAAATAATATTCAATCTTATGAGATTAGTGTTTTATCAAATAATAATCTTGAAAAACCATGTCTTTGGTTAGTACAAAAATTAAGTGGAAATGATACTTTTTGATTTGTTTCTCGAATTCCATTATTAGTATATCTTGATATGGGCCTAGACATGCTTTGAGAATATGAACTCTTAGTAATGAAAGTACTATCTCCTCCATTACTCGATGACGATGATAATACTTATTTATAAAAAAAATATCTACATATACGAAAAAATCAAAATTTTTTTTAATCACAATAAATTATTGCTTTTTTTTTGTTTATTTTTTAAAATTTTTAGTATCCATTTGTGGTGTATAGTTTGTATGCTTAGTTCTTGATGTTTAAATTAAACTTTTTGTAATTCTTGGC